CAAAAAGCACGCACGGCGGGTTGTGACCGCAGCTTAACCTGCACAAAAAACTCACCAAAAACTCGCCGGAATATTCGAGTGAATGTTCAGCTTTTTGACGCAATCTCCCAGGACACATGATTTGTGCACGTACGTGTGAAGTCAGCAATGGGGCAAAAGTTGTTGGGTCCCGGTTGTAAGAATGTTGGTGCGCGCTGATGTATACATATGAAAACGTTCGAATCTTGAATATTGACAAGATTGTAAACTTAGCTAGTATATAGCTAAAGAAATGTACTTGTTTTCTTGTGTAAATTAGCTTGTGGGAAGAATGTAGAATCCCATACAATTTGGGTAACGTTGCAATAATATTTTCTTTATTATAGATGACCCAACGCTGGATTCTTTCGCACGATGGTTTCTCTCTGTTCCCGGTGACAACTATATACGGGAAAAGACTCTGGTTCTGAAGCAACAAAATGGCACTAACACATACAGGTCCTCCCTTTTCTTCACTTTATCTGCTTCCTTTCCATTTATGTATCATTGCGTATTTATATTTGTGTTTGTATCATGATGTCTTGTTTCGTTATATATGAATGAATGGATGAACTTTATTGCTCGATAATCGTACATGGTACAAATGGCAATGTGTGGCAGTAATACAACAATACTACAAAACTAAACTATCTTACAATTATTTCTACAAAATACTATTGATAGCAATATATGAGTTATAATATGGTCGTGTATTGATGGTTTGGTCTCGCTTATGGAATGAGGTTTACAGAAATTGACCTAAATGTACGTTATGTAGGCAGATATGGGAGTTGGACACGACAACAATATAAGGAATGTATCGTTCTGTGTACCAGATAGGGTGAACTTTGTCTTGGTAGTAATAGTCTGTAACAGTACCGCACCCCGGTTGCATTGTGTAAAGAAGCTGAAATCAATCCATGAATAAATACTGGTTGTAGTTTGCTATGTTCAATATTATGTATGTACCATGTTTTTTTAAAGATACACCAATGACGATTTCTTCCCCGTGGACGGATTTGGTTATGGCTTTGAGGGACAACGAGACTGCAATGGCACTCTGCATAATTTTGGGTGAGCAATGCTATTCTTCATTTAGTTTCCGTATAAGCTGGAGATAACTTCATTCGTGCTTTATTAAGGCTAAAGGCCTAAGATTAATTAGTTTCATCTTCTTTATTTGTTCAGATAGATGATTTGTTCTTCGAATTGTTCCTGTTAATTTCCTGTTATCTTTGTCTTCTTCGTTTAAATTTTGTTTCATTCAGTATCAATGGTAACTTTTAATCTTATAATATTGGGAAGGGCCAAAGATAAACCTCCAGGTTTCCGGCCCTCCCATGCATGTCTACTTAACTTCAATTGTTGTAGTTCATTTTATTTTGTGAGTGTAAAACAAACAATAAACAATAGACAAAAAAGGGCCTTTGCTGTATCTTTCAATGAACAATCTTTTCTGTTGGTTAAGATTACATGGTCAACAAAGGATGTTGTGATATATATCATATCAGTGGTGATAGTTTTAATCAGAGACAAGATAGACCAAGGTCCATGTCAGGTTTACTTGTTACGATGATGTCTGTCGAATGATGCTTCGTTCGATGATAGGACTATGAAACACGTGACATGTAACTGAGAATGAAGAAAATCTCAGGATATAGATTATGTAAATGAAGACCTAATTTGCATAAGTATTGGGAAATTGTTATAATTTCATAGTTGCAACTGCTGGGAATTTCATACAAACATAATTTATTCAAATTATAACCTCGTTTGCCTAATTTATGAATTGCTAGAATAGCCTTTTTTGCTAAGATAAGGCTGTCATTGGGTGGAGAATATGATCAACTGATATAATCCATGCAAACTAGGCTCTTGTTTGCAAAATCAATGAATAAAATTGTATAATTCGTCACCCGCAGGGTTAACGTCATTTGGCGAAGGTATGAGATCGTGGAACTCTTGTTATATTTTTTTCAGTTTCACGGCAGCTATTAGAGCAGCACTAACCTACCGTGGGAACGAGATCATCACCGTGGGTGGTGGGGACGAGCTCTGGCTCTTCATTGATAGGGAGAGAGTGATCGACCTGCGAAGAGAAAAAGGCGACAAGTCGGAAACAACGTCATGTAGAAGGCTAAAGCTACAGGATTCTAGAAGCGAAGGTAAACTTGATAATAACAAGCTAGGGTATCAGGAGTAAATTATTGGCACAACATGTAGCTTCTTGCAGCCAAGGGCTGAATCGTGGGGGTTTACATTTGGTGGGGCTAAATCGCAATACATTTGGCGGGGCTAAATCGCAATACGTTTGGTGGGGCTAAATCGCAATACATTTGGTGGGGCTAAATCGCAATACATTTGGTGGGGCTAAATCGCAATACATTTGGTGGGACTAAATCGCAATACATTTGGTGGGGCTAAATCGCAATACATTTGGTGGGGCTAAATCGCAATACATTTGGTGTCGCTAAATCGCAATACATTTGGTGGGGCTAAATTGGAATACGTTTGGTGGGGCTAAATCGCAATAAATTTGGTGAGGCTAAATCGTAATACATTTGTTGGGGCTAAATCGCAATAAATTTGGTGAGGCTAAATCGTAATACATTTGTTGGGGCTAAATCGCAATACATTTGATGGGGCTAAATCGCAATACATTTGGTGGGGCTAAATCGCAATACATTTATTGGGGCTAAATCGCAATACATTTGGTGAGGCTAAATCACAATACAGTTGGTGGGGCTAAATCGCAATAAATTTGGTGAGGCTAAATCGTAATAAATTTGTTGGGGCTAAATCGCAATACATTTGGTGAGGCTAAATCGTAATAAATTTGTTGGGGCTAAATCGCAATACATTTGGTGGGGCTAAATCGCAATACATTTGGTGGGACTAAATCGCAATACATTTGGTGAGGCTAAATCGTAATACATTTGGTGGGACTAAATCGCAATACATTTGGTGGGGCTAAATCGCAATACATTTGGTGGGGCTAAATCGCAATACATTTGGCGGGGCTAAATCGCACTACATTTGGTGGGGCTAAATCACAATACAGTTGGTGGGACTTAATAATCGCAATACATTTGGTGGGGCTAAATCGCAAGAGTCTAGAGCTTACTCAGGTGACCTCAATACCCATGAATGAAACACATTGTGCTGGTTTTGAACTTTTTGACATTTTACCGGTATAAAGATTAAATATTTCCAGGGGGTGTGAGTGCTGTCCTTGTGCCAGGGACCGTCACTGATGGGGAATGTGTGATACATGGCAACGTGACCAACGACACAGCAAAACTGGATCTCACGGTAATTCTGTAACAGTGTTTGTGTAGGGATAAACGGTTGTATGTTAGACTAGACCACCCCGATGTGAAGGTAAACATCATGCGTAAATGAATGAATGAATGAATGTATGAATGAATGAATGAATGAATGAATGAATGAATGAATGAATGAATGAATGAATGAATGAATGAATTCTACGAATACTCTACGACTGCGAGTACAAGGGGTGCAGCAGATCACTCTTTGAGAAAACAAAATGAGACCAACGACAATAACAATCAAACTGGTGAAAGCAACGAGATCCTTGGTGCAGAACGTGAGCCTGGCCGGGATTCTGAGGAATTCTTGAACAGAAAACAGGACGACATGATAGCCACATACCTGCATTCGACACGCTACAATCAACAGAGCTCAGACAACACAACAGAAAAGCCATCAAAGCAAGGAAAAACAGAACAAGGCAGGACAGAGTAGAGAGAGAATTGCACATGAGAGTGGAGAAAGAGGCACCAGGGTTAAGAGACAGGATGATGAAGCCAATATTATTATCTTAGACCCCAGCCCCAGAAGAGACACCGACCTGAGCGGCGGTAGTGGAGGAGACAGAGATATACTAACAGGCGACAAGCCTGCAAACAGAAATTCCGGCATGTCAGGAGGTGCTAATGAAGAATACAGTGCCTGGCCACAGACAGAGAAAAAAGGTACCAGAGAAACCAATGCAATAAACGGGCGTGTGAGCACATGGGACAGAAACAGAGGAGAAAGCCCAAAAGTAAGAAGAAGCCCACGGAGAGTGAGAAATAGTACTAAAGGACCAAAGAAACTTGAAAGCACTCAGATCAAAACATACAAAGAAGCAGTCATGCATGTGCAGCAAGAGAACTCACCTAGAAAGAGAAGGAGGCCAAGCCAGTCAATGCACAAATCAGCTCACCCCCCTAGAACCCCACAAGCAGAGAAGAACAACACAAAATGTACAGACAACGACACTGACTTTTCAGACTTTGTGGGCATTGAGAGAAACAGAGTGCGGAAAAAGAGGTTTTTCCTGGGCTATATGAGGAAGACAGAAGAAAAGAGCCTCCAGGACATGATACACAAGTATGCCCAGAGTAGGGGAGTCCAACTGTCCTTTGTGAGAGTCATGAACAGTAGACAAAAAGACATAGCATTTGCAAGAATCAATGTACTACTACATCAGGTCCATATGGTGGTGAAAGAAGACTTTTGGCCCAGCGGGGTGAAGTGCAGAGAATGGTGGTCAGAGAAGAGGTACAAGGGTGGCAATACAGGGAGTGATGGTGAGAGGAACCAAATAGCAAGTGGCAGTCCGTACACATGGCCAGCAGACTTACAAGTCGCACAGTGATTGCCACCGATACTTCAAGCACATGTACACCTAAATTTAAAGAGCTAACAGTTGGTTGCTACAATGCCAGGGGAATAGTGACAGCACTGCCATTCATAAGGAAACATCTAGCTCATATAGACATCCTTGCAGTTACTGAACATTGGTTATACGAGGAGGCACTACCTGAACTTGACCAAGTGATGATTAGCCACAGAGGGTGGGGAAGAGCAAGTAACCAGCTAAAGGGACATAACACACTGTGGAGAAGAGGGCAGGGAGGAGTTGCCCTACTGTGGAAGGAGACAATTGATTATGCAGTGCATAAACTTGAGGATGGCAACGGCAGAATTATTGGAGTGAGAGTCAGGCTCCAGAATGGCCAGAAAATCTTTGTCTTTGCAGTATATATGCCATACAGTGGCCTGGCGGTTGACACCTACATGGAACATTTAGACATTTTAATAGAAGTATACAGAAAGTATGAAAATGAAGGAGAGGTAATACTTGTCGGAGACTTTAATGCAGACATCGGTGATCAGGAGGGAAGAGAGAATGGAGGCCCCAGAGGCAGGGGGAAGGGGTCTAAGAGAGGAAGAGAACTTGAGAACATAATGGAAGAATTAGCTCTGTTTTCCCTCAACCTGAGTCAGCTGTGTAAAGGCCCTTTATACACGTTCCATGATGCCAGTGGGAACCATCGGTCAACAATAGACCACATACTCGTCCCATACTCCCTTATAGCAGAAACAGTCGCCTGTGAAGTGATGGAAGATTGCAGCCTCAACCTATCTGACCACAACCCTGTGGTTGCCACATTCACCAACAAGCCTAGAGAGTGGGAGGAAGTTATGCCTAGAGCAAAGCCCAGGTGGCATAAAGCTGACCAAGAGGAGAAAGAGATGTATAGAAGGAGAGTGAAAGAGAGGCTGGGAGCAAGTAGAGCTCCAACTATGATGTCAACAGAAGACATAGAAAATGAGCTTAGGACAATCACAACAATACTGATAAGAACAGCCGAGGAAGTGATGCCTCCGAAAGAAAGAAAGAGGCACCAGAAACCTTATTGGTCACCAGAGCTGACAGAAGTGCACCAACAAGAAGCAGAAGCATGGCTCCAGTGGAAAGAAGGTGGGAAGCCGAGGGAAAAAGACAACCAGTTGTACACGGCATATAAAGAGAGCAAAAACAGACTCAGGTCAGAACTGAGAGAAGCAAAGATACTGTATGAAGCAAAGCAGAATGAAGAACTGGCCGCATTGGCTGGAGTTGACGACAAAGAGTTCTGGAAAAGAGTGGGACAGAGAAGAGGCAGAGCTGATAAGCCACAGGCCGTAAAAGTCGGGGAACAAGTGATCACAGATCCCACTGAGGTGAGAGAAATCTGGGCAAGACATTTTGAAAAGTTAGGTAATGAACAGGAGGAAGAAGACAACATCTTTGATGGAGTGCACAAAAGAAAGATCATAGAAGAAGTGGTCAAGATGGAAGAGGAGAGCCACATGAATACAGAAGGGATACTTGAAGAACCCTTTTCACTGCAGGAAATAGCAGCTGTCTGCAGGTGTCTAAAGAACGGGAAGAGTGGTGGAATCGATGGACTAGTCTACGAACACATCAAATTTGGCGGTGAGACTCTGTGGACCCGTCTGACAAACCTGTTTAATGCAATCAGGGAGAGGGAATATATCCCAGCTGGCTTCAAGAAAGGGGTTAAGATACCCCTCCTGAAACAGGGAAAGACAAACAAGACTGATCTGGACTCTCATAGAGGCGTAACCTTGTTACCGGTTATATCAAAGGTGTGGGAGAGGACATTGTATAACAGGTGGAGCCCATGGCTGTGTGATAGGGGTATACCTCACCAACTCCAGAGTGGGGGCCAAGCTGGTTGTAGTAACATAACAACTGCGTTCATTGTAAGAGAAGTGATCAATCATTTCAAGGAGAGAGGAAGTTTGGTGTACGGATGCTTCTTGGATACTAAGAAGGCCTATGACACTGTCTGGCTGGAGGGATTGCTATTTAAAATGTACAGGAGAGGGATAAATGGCAAGCTATGGAGACTTCTCAAACACATGCACACAGGCTGTACGTAGTCAGTCCTCTTAAACGGTGGTCTATCAAGAGAGTTCAACACAACAAGAGGAGTGAATCAAGGGGGGATTTTATCTCTGACCTGCTACTTACTAGCTACTGACGACGTGCATGAAGAACTACAAGCCCAGCTAGGTGGAGTGTGTATGGGAGGCATGTGTTGCGCTTCCCCAGCTTTAGCGGACGATATCTGTCTCCTAGCTAGCACAAGGATGGGCCTGCAGAGAATGATCGACACCATGACCCAGTATGGAAGAAAATGGCGCTTTGAGTTTGCCCCTGAAAGGGGTAAATGTGTTGTATTTGGATCAACAAGTAGCATACAACAGACTCCAAATGCATCCTACTGCTGGAGAATGGGCACAAGATCAATACCAGAAACAAGTGTGGTGACTCATGTCGGAGTACAACATTCAGCCAAACTTTCATCAATGGAAACCATTGAGCAAGCCTGCAGAAAGGGAAGGGGAAGGATTAGTGCAATTCTGGCAACAGGCAGTGAAGGACAGCAACCTAACCCCTTAATCTCCAAAACCCTATACAACACACTAGTGATACCAAGCATGTTACACGGTAGTGAGTTTTGGAGCCCGTCAAATAGTGATCTCTTGAAACTAGAGAAAGTACATAGAAGTGGAATTAAGCGCATGCAAGGCATGCACTTCCAGACAGACACAACGGCGAGCCTTGGTGCCCTGGGAATGGAGAGCCTGAAATCAGTCCTGGACAGGTTCAAACTATGCTTATTTGGGAGACTTGCCTCTATGCACAACACAATCCTGGCGAAGAAGGTCTTCTTGTACAGGCTATACTCCTATGTCTTAACAAGTACAAAGAGGAAAGCAAGAGGTCTAGTCAGTGAGTGCTTTGAAGTAGCAAGAGAATATGGCTTGGAAGGATGGTTAGAAGAATACTGGCTGACGACGAATTTCCCTGCAGCAAGGGAGTGGAAGCAACTGGTGAAGACAACAATACGAGCTAAGGAAAATGAAAAGTGGCAGGCCACAGTGTCCTCTGAAAGCACATGTCACAGGTTCTACAAAGTACACCCAACAAGCGAGAAACCACATAAGCTATGGGTACTAGCGAGACAACAACCAGAGCACCAAAGAGATCTAAAGAACCTAATCCTCCTTAGTCCTGTTCCAACCAAACACAGCAGAAAGCCTTGCCCAACCTGTAAGTCGGACACAGAAGACCTAGTGGGCCACCTGTTCACCCGGTGTACAACATTCATTCACCTAAGACAAGCCCTGGCAGGAGAACTAGTGAACTATCTGGGAGTAAGGGTGATGGCTAGAGTACACGAACAGCCAGAAGAGAGGTTTACAGAAATTATGTTGGGAGCGGAAGTAATAGAAGAAGAAGTGGATGCAGAAGTGTGGTGCGCCTTCATTACAACAGCAGCCAAACTACTCCGTCCATTGGCAACTATGGCACTAAAACATGCCACATGGAAAGAAAGGTGAACAGTTGGAACTGAGAGAAGCAGAGAGAAGGCAGGGAAGAACTGGAGAGAAGGCTGGGGAGAGAAGGCTGAGGAGAGAAGGCTGAGGAGAGAAGGATGAGGAGAGAAGGCTGAGGAGAGAAGGCTGAGGAGAGAAGGCTGAGGAGAGAAGGCTGAGGAGAGAGGACTGAGGAGAGAAGGCCGAGGAGGGAGGACCAGAACTAGGAAGAAACACTAGGCAGGGAGGGGTATAACAGAGAGGACAAAGTTCCCTGGGTTCTACTCTCTACGTGCAGAATGGCGTTGTAGCTGAGAAGGGATTTAGCTAGAAGAACTTGAGTCTTAAAGTGAAGGCAAAAAGGACTGAATCAGAGACTTTTGATGCCTTTTGAGCATTTTATTACGGTGCAAAAGGGAGATAACAAACGGAAATACCTATAGTGTAATACGTGACATGAAGTGAACAACTTTTAATTGCCGACATTATGATCGTCTGATTATCCAATCCTACAAGAGATATTTTAATTAACATATTTTAATTAGCATATGTAAAGTTACTATTATTTTGTATTAGTGTGACACTGCTCTCCTACGGGAGGAAATAAAGAGAAAGAAAGAATTAATTAATGAATGAACGAACGAATGAATGAATGAATGAATTGTTTATTCAGGTTAAAATCACTCGCAGCCATTTTGCTGAATTGTGTATTTCATTACAATACTTGGTACTTTCTAAAAGACAATGGCAACATTTACATTAATAATATGAAATAAGTCATCTCTATTAAACATTTAACAAATGAAGTTTCTATTACAAATTAATAAAATTAATAAAAACCTTAGTAGCTAGATGCTCATTAAGCTTTTCGGAAACAGTACACAAATCTGTATGACAGGGTCTAACTTCTTTATCAACATAAGGCACAAGACTATTTTTCTTAGTTAAAGTTTTCTCATATGCATTTGCCTTGCAACCGTTACCTTCCTAGTTTTGATTTTTGTTTTGATGTCTTTACTCATATAGACAGGAAATGCCTACCACCTGGACATTTTCGTAGCCGAACGAGAGCCCTGCACATCTTCACTCTTTCTTGAAGTCCAGGGAGTGGTTTTGTCCTTCCCAGTGGTTGACCTTTCTGCAGACGTTGGCAGCGTTTTCAGTGAGTATTTATGTATTTATTATTTATTTATCTATGAATATTTACCACAGTGGAAGGATTGGCATAAAAGGTGACTATCAACTCCTGTCAAAGATGTCAAATCTGAGACCAGACTGTAACGTTTGAACCACTGACACCGGGAAGGTCCCCTTCCTTTTTCGATATGTGGGGTTCTTAAACGTGCGTGGGGTGTGGCTCTCCCAAACCCGGGGTTTCCATTTAATGTCCTATCCGAGGGACGTCCCTAACCGAAGCTAGGTACTCATTTACACCTTAGTGAAGTGAGAAAAGTCGTGTAAAGTGTCTTTCTTAAGGGCACAAGATCGGGTACATCGGGCAGGATTCGAAGAGCCGAACACTACCATTACGCCACACAGCACCGAGTAGATTCGAGTAGAATCAACGAAGCCGATATTCACGAATGAAAAGAATTCATGCCATATTAACTTGATATGATACTTGAAGTTATTGTGGGGTATACTTCTATGTTGGTCAGGTGTGTACACATTGCTGATAATCATCCTATTAATACATTTTCAGCTGCAAGGGCACTAAATGTCTCCAATGGAACAACTGATTCACCAACAGTAACGCCAGAAGAAAGTAATAACATAAGTATGTTGAATGTTTGATATGTGATGTTAAATTGCATGGAAAAAAAGGTGGTGGTATCCATGATTTCATCGCGCAACATACAACATACAATATTCATATATGTAACTGTATCCACGAGGGAACAAATGTGCGGCATGTAAAAATTAGTCCATACAAACTTGCTGCATTTGCGCTCAGTGCATGGAATTATTAAATAATCTCACAGGCTTTTCATTGCTTTCTTGTTTATGTAGATACGTTTTAGAAGTAAAATGGCCGAACGAAATTCTTACATAAATAAATGGCACTGTATTATTTCTTGTTGTTTGACAATAGCGATAGCATAACGCCAGAATGTTGTCACCGTGTGACCTGTAAATTCACGATTATAAAAGTCTTGAATTCTGTAATGTTTGCCTATCTGGGCATGTCACAGTATGTCATTACATACTATTTACATATATTATAGCCGCTCTGCCAACATGGACACCAGAGACAAGCACACCGACAGGAGCATCATACGGTATACTAAACCACACAGTGAACAACACAGGGAATTACACTGACGGCAGGAACGGTACCGCCAACTACACAGAAACAACAACGCCATATCTGACCAGTAACCGCACTGCACAACAGAATATAAGTACCGACATGTCCGGCGCCGAACCCACCGGCAGTCCACCTGGGTTTCCCGTCGACTATGAGCCAAGAATTCCGGAGGATCTCCATCTTAACGGAATAGTGCAGACCGTCTCGCTTGCCAGCGTAGCATCGACTGAGACTTTATTCATCGTCACCATCTTAGAAGGTGATTTACGTCCACACTCAGTTTGTTTGATGTTCTTAACAATGTAGATGCATACGATATTACTATCGTGAAATCTATTGGAACTCAACAGCTTTACATTCTGTGTTTAAAGTTAAAACTTTTGATCCAACACCAAGAATTCTCTCACCTAGAGCTCTAGGGTGTCACTAGTCACTCTGGTCTTCCTCAGTAGACTGACCCAGTGAAGCTTGTCACGTGGCTTCTTTGAAGTGTGACGTCAACACTGGGTCAAAGGTATCTGGTAGACGATGTCGACCCCCGTCGCGGTTCAATGTAGGGTGATGGGCCCTGATGCTTTACATTCTATTCATTTCTTGTGTCCTTGTTCTCAAGAAGAACCTTTTGTTGGATATAAGAAACTTTTTAATAAGCGCAGATTAGATGCACTTCATATTAAATGTATTTCCTATTATCTCATCAAGGTAATGACGGTGGTCACTTTATAATCAAGAATGACACTGACGATAACCGAAAGGACGCAGAAAACATACCGACACAAAATCTTTCCTGGGTTACTGTTGACGACACTTCGTTCGTCGTTTGTAACCAAACAGTTGTGGAAACAACAGCAGAAACAATAGGAACAGGTAAGATTTAAAAATTTCGTGTACAATAGGTAGAAAAAAAGGAATGATTATTTTCGCGAAATGCATATTGAGATCTTGAGTACACAATACTGTCATTTCAGCCATCTTTACGTGTCTTTTATGTATTGTTTAGAATCTATTAACAGGAAAGTTTATTGCAAAATCATGGGCGATGGCTAATTGCAAGAACATAGGACATTATTAAATAATAGTAAACAGAAATTAAAATGACCGTTCTGTAGATACATCGTAATGATATAGGTTACGGATGGAGAAAATCACGTGGATTTTTTAAATTTATTTATTCGGCTTACAAAGAAGCCAGGGTGTCCCAACTAGTCAAAAACTATTACTAAGGGACACCCTGGGGGAAAGATAAAAAATTGAATAGACATACACAATTACAGGAATACATAATTACAAATTACATAGTGAAATATACAGTTATATACAATGGTGCAATAATATATACATACGTTTTTTAAAAATACTATAATACTTCGATAGAGTCCTGGTATATACATGGTTGACGAGGTACAAAAATATAATATGTTTATCGGACTTGATACATGTATAATATGTTAAACAATATGGATCCCGAAGGGATTTCCATACTTTAGCTTTAAGGCCACACCAAGTAAATTTTATGGATGACGTCCGCGCGCGCATTGATTTTGGCCTGTTCCTAGAAAAAAAACAAGAAATTCCGCTCCCTGTAACTATGATTAAAGAGTCACGACAGTGCCGCAAATCGTTAGATTGACGTGAAACCCGTAATGCGAAATGGGTAAAGAGCACGTGCTTTGTTTCTGCAGGCCTGCAAAAATGTGAAAGAAACAGGACAGGACGACAACTGCTGTTCCACCTGATTTATTGCTGTTTTGATGATGAATAAAAGACTTCTTGCTTGTTAATCTGTGTCACCTCATTCAATTTGTGTCCTAACATTTGTCGTCTCTTAGTATATTTCTAATCTAGGCATCTTGTTTTTTAGGGCCCTTCTTGTTTTTTTTTTTCGCCCTCGCGCATTAGATATAGGGTCTCCAAAGGACGTCATCCATAAACTTTACTTGGTGTGGCCTAAAAGAAAGAAGTGTAGGGGATATTTGTATGTCAATTGGGAGGGAGTGGATTGATATCTGTATAAAAATTAATTAGCTTAAGAGTGTCGAAAGAAAGCTTTTTTTTTCGCACTTTTATCTCAGGCGTTCAGAGCTTTATGATCAATACACCGTCGGCCCTGATCACCCTTGCCGCTGCGGTAGACTTTGAAGAAGCTCAGCAGCATGAACTGGTACTCGTCGTGGAGGACAACAGTGTGACGCCATCGCGGACAGGGACACTGGCCATTGAAGTTTGCACTACAAAAAATAATACTCGTAGTATCAGCAATACATATATCACTACCAAAAATGTTTTTTCTTAGTTTCTTAAGTTGAGAAATATTTTCTTGCCAGGGGGATTTTCAAGAAAATTAAAACAATCTTCAAATATTTTGTATGTTGATTCTTACACAAAGAATTTTATTATTTTTTTCTTAAGAAAAGAAAATATTTCTACTATCATGCTCACTCGAATTTTAAGAGAGTTTACAGTATTTTTTTCTTTTCTTTTCTTGTGGACAGAATCATTTTCTTGCTACAGCAAGAAAAGTTTCTTGAATTTTCTTGCTACGGGGATTATTTAATTTCTTGTTCAAAGAATAATTTTCTTGCTACAAGATACACTTTCTCTGTGCAAGAAAAAACAAGAAAAGGCATTTTTGTAGTGTAGGATATGATATTTAACTGTTTAAATAGCAAATGAGGATCAAAATAACATAAAATGTGGAAAATTATCAAAGAATACCTGTAATATTCATTGTGCCGCGATTAAAAGAATCTACGAAAGGTGGGCCTCTGTGCAATATCATTGCGTTTTCTTCAAAGATTTTCGTCGAAGACGTGAACGACAACTGCCCAAGCTTTACCACGAAGGAGTTCGACCTCGAGCCGAGACCAGTCCTGAGTCCAGGTCCAGTCTTCACCCTGCAGTGGAAGGACAGGGACAGTGGATCAAACGCCGTCGTCTCGCTCTACAGGACCCAGGAGGTTCAGCAGACGTAAGGAGTTCAACTTCTTATGTAGATACAGTTTCAGTTTATTACGATACCCTTTAGCCCGTTAGGGCTAATCTTCCAGGGCTCAATACACATTACACACAGAGCACAAATATACACATATGACTACAAATTTACATACACGTTGAGGTCACACGCCAGAAAAGGTACTAATTATAGTTAAAATCATTGAACGAGCAAATTATCGGCTAAGTATAAAACTAATATTACCATTACTAAAAGATTTCAATATAACAAGTATCATCATAATTAAAACCATTAAGTTGCATACATATACAATTGACCGATACTGCTTATTCCTTGGTAATGTGGGATCTATTTCCTTCCTTTAGTTAGATTCATTCACTTTAGATTATCAAATTAAAATCGTATCTAGTGGTCATTATCATAATCCACTGTATTCTACATATATAGTCGTTAAAACGTCCTTCAGCTGCACTCAGTCTTCTTTATCTTCCACTGTGTCTTCTGTCTTATGGTAATACGTACATAATAAATATCTAGATTTAGGTACGTCGATGAAGGTTAGACATCCAGGTAATACGATACGCCAAAAGGCAGTTACTCAAGCAACTGGATATGATTTTCAAAATCATATCCAGTTGCTTGAGCAACTGCTTTTTGGCGTATCTAGATTTAGATTCATTTTTTTTTAAATATAGATCGACTGTAAATATATGACCTTGCGGATTTGTTTTACATTACAGATCCACCCAGCTACAGTTTTCTGTCATTGCCGTTGATTCGGGCACACCATCTCGTGGGGACATAGCAACCGTTTCCATGACAATCAGTGACACGTGCCTGCACGACAGCCTGAACAAGTCCATCGAATATGACGTCAGTGTCGAGAACCATACCGGAAATGTCTACCTCCGGGTTCCCAGATATTACGTCAAGCCGTTTGGTGGGTAACTCATCCGTTCTAAAGATGATCAATCAATCAATCAATCAATCAATCAATCAACCAATCAACCAATCAACCAATCAACCAATCAAACAATCAAACAACCAATCAATCAATCAATCAATCAACCAACCAATCAATCAATCAATCAATCAATCAATCAATCAATCAACCAATCAACCAATCAACCAATCAACCAATCAACCAATCAACCAATCAACCAATCAATCAAGTGGTTTATTGGTAAAACGAGGAATTTGCAGCCACAGGCTGAATTACATCCTGTTGTACAATTAATTCATATTAAAATTCATTAGTATACAGTAAAAATCATCATAGTTATTTACAATTATTGGTATTAAAACTTGGTTACACATTAAGATCTAAAACACTGATTTATAAAATTGCTACAGGGGGGACAACATTGCTTTGACGTTCACATAACAGACATTACATACAGATAACAATTCATGTGCTCATATATGATTATTTAAAAGGGATATCATATATGGGATACTGCTGTTCTTATTGCGTTCGGTTCTAGCCTTGGGACAGTCAAGTAGATCGCTGGAGCGTGTGGTTCGTCCAGTAGTGTCCCCACGTGTGTGTGGTAGCCAACTGCGGAATTCTTTGGAACTAACAAGTTTCTTAGCGAAGTCTAGAGTGAGGTCGTCTCGTCGCTGTTCAAGATCCATCTTTTCATTGATATGAGAATGAATGAATGATCTTTATTGCTCGACAGTTGTACATGGTTCAATGTATGACAAGGATGACAATTTGGTCATTACAATCATACTATTCTATTCCTAGCAAATTCCTCACTGTGTGCACAGCTGCGAGCTGGTATTTTACCTATCAATATTGAAACTGGACGGTACCAGGGAATTCCTGAGGATAATAGAATATGTACCATGTGTGACCTGGATGAAGTAGAAAACGAAACACATTTTCTTTTTTACTGTCCCTTTTATGACAATCTTCGAGAAAATATGTTTCGTAAAATCTATACAAAATCATCTGACATCATATGGGAAAGTGATGAAAATAGAATTAAGTGGCTCTTTAACGAGGGTGTATCTGACCTAGCAACTTTCATTTATCTAGCGTGGGTGAAAAGAAGAAAATACCTGTATTCATAACACATGAACAGTTGTCACTTTTTGTTACTTCTGCACGTTTGTTTTCTCTTATTATGTTTGATTTACCTTATGTACTTGTATTTATTTTGTGAGATCCTGGTTCATTATGTACAGATTTGTTTATTTGCATTTACAATCTGTTTTGAGTTCACTTATTTGTTTACCATTATTGTATATAGCCTACCTTTATTTATGTTCATATCTTGTTTGGATTCTGTTATCTGTACCTTTGATTCTCTTTTGTTTATGTATAATTTATTGAATCGGTGTCTTATAAGCCCACACGGGCTGGGCGCGGGATAGCGCACGACACGGAAATAAAGTCTCATTCATTCATTCATTCATTCATTCATTCATTCATTCATTCATTCATTCATTCATTCCTAGAAACTATAACTACATAAATATAACGTAAATGGCGTATTATTGACATGATGCACATTAAATATTTCTGTCACAATTCTTTCTCTCTTTTCTAAAACGCTACATACATATTAGACTAGGTACATAGATATGGAGTCGGGGCACGACATAAGTAGACTGAAAGTGTCTATGCTTGTCTTTGGCAAAGGTATACTAGATTTACTTGTGACTATATTCCTCAATTTTTTGTATAATCTATAGTATAAGCTGGACATGTCATAAGAGAATGATATTCATCTTTAACACTTTCTTGACATGATGGATACAGTCTCTGGTTGGCTTGTATATTATGAGTGACGTAGCTTTTGCAAGAGCGTTTTATGAAGCGGTTAATAAAATGCCGTATCTTTCGTTTCATCAGTTTGCTTTGAGCCACTTGGTATGGAGAGCGGATGGATACACATAAGCCAGATCTCTGCGTCGTCTGCGGATGGATTTTATGGACCTGAACGGGCGCGTCTCAACAACAATGCATCAGTAGCAAGTGATGGCGGGACGTCTGGGGCTGGAGGGAACTGGAGAGCAGCAGTGACAAACTCTGACCATTGGTTACAAGTGAGACTGATTTAATACATTGTGCAAAGTATCATCACAGAAATCTTTAGTGACACAAAAAAGTACATCGAAGTCTGTAATGTCATCGAAGTACATCGGAGTCTTCCTACAACTATATTAACAAAGAAACAAACTATCAAAGTTCATCTGTGTTGGTAGTAATCATAGTAAAGCGTTGAACTTTATTGCAACACACAGTTTACAGATCTCGCGAGATCACGTCGTGAAGTGATTGGTCATTAATTATCCTGATGAAGGCGACAGTGGTCGCTGAAAATGTGATCTCTCTGTAAACTGTGTTTTGGAATAAAGTTCAACGTTTTACTAAGAAACAAATTATATGCAAACGAGTGGATGCAACATTACATACACGTGCATTGATAAATCAAGTTGCCACTACTGATTCTAAGGACGAAACATTCTTTTATGTACTATATTTGTACAAAGTAAGCGTTAAGTCGTTCTACCATGTAGACTTGCATTTATAGCAAAGCTTATTTACATTTAAAAAAATAAAGCTAGCATGTGAAGTCTTCATGATCAACACAGCTGAGGACCACAGCATTTTAAGGTTCTCTGACAACTAGGGGGCCTACCATGCCGTGACTTAAAGTTTTCACATTTTCTCTACGGAAGATGAAAATGTGTCAGTACTTCATAAAGTAATAAAAATTGTCGTTTGAAAATACCAACTAAAGATAATTCAATGAAATGAAATCATGGTGAAAGGAAACGCTTTTGGCCGTGCAGTAGAATACGGTCATTGGACCCTCTTCTACCAATTACTACTACATTTGTACCATTTTACTACTATACCACTAACAGAGTATATGGCCACACTGAGTTAATTTTATGGATGACATCCTCTGAAGACCCCCAAACTAGTGCGCGCGGGCGAATAAAAAATTCCGGCCAAAAATAAAAATGCTACTAAACCATAGGTCTGGAATACAAAACTGGTATTGTGAATTTGCGGTAGTACTTAGAGACGTTTACGACAAGCCGGCACAAGCTGGCTTTTTGCGGAATTTATGAATCGGCACTGTGGGTATGTACTGAATTCTTGACTCGTGGAACTTTGGTAGCCTGTGTGGCATGCTCCAGATTTATCGCCTCCGTATTGTCACTAACTACCATGGAATACCCAGGCCTAGAGCCGGAAGACGTGATCTTTTTTTTTTTTAGAACAGGCGAAAATCAATGCTCGCGCGGATGCCATCCATAAAATTAAATCGGTGTGGCCTATTTCCCCAATGTAGGTATCATTCCTCGAGGAGGTCAGTGTGAAGGCAGTAGTGGTGCAGGGAAGTTTTGATGCCCAGGAATGGGTGGAGACATACAGTGTCCTCCACAGTGACGACGGTGTCAATTGGAAAGCCTACGAAGAAAATGGAACCGTAAAGGTACGTACCTATTGGCAGTCGGCGCGTCAAAATTTTGGGAACATTATAGTTAGTTAAGGCCCTCCCTCAACTATTAGCATGGTCGCGTATGGCGGCGCCTGTCTCCGTTTCGTAGCGCTTGGGCCGCACAATTGTGGAATCATTAGCGGGGGGTTAGTCCACTGGTAGTAGTGTGTGTTTAACTCCAATACTCTTTCTCAAGTGCTGATTGTTAAGCAGAGAAAACAATATGTACCATTTTACAAGTCTTTGGTATGACTCTGCTGGGGATAGAACACACTACCTACCGAATGCAAGGCGAGCACTCTACCAACTTGGCCATTGCACCGTTTTTGGGGGGGTAATTTTGGGAATTAGTTATAAAAAAAATGAGCTGAATATGAACTAAAATCTACAGTCATTGTACTTTTCCGCACCTATATACTACGGCAGTGATGCCTTTGAAGGTTAGGTGACGGAGGTTTTTTTTAAATTTCATGCGTATTTCAGATTTTCAATGGAAGTCGCAACGCAACTACACCACACCAAGCAGTCCTACTCGATCCAATCACCACATCTAATATCCGTATCAATCCGCGGTCGTGGCGGAATCGCATCAGCATGAGAATCGAACTCATCGGATGTACAGTGAGAATGCAGCACATTCGTAAGTCCTGTTTTTACACGTTCATCTGTGTTGGTAGAAGTCCTTATGAACCAAGTACAACTCCAGTCTTCCAGCAATCCGCCGCTTCTGTGACATAGATATAGAATCGCTGGGGCACTCGGTCTCATTCTACAAAAAAGTAAGAATCGTGGACACGAGATGTTAAAGAGGCCATCTACATCCGGGCATTGCAGTCACGCGTCAGTAGAGACGACCGGCGTCAGAATCATTCATGACAATAACGTGACGTCACAGAAGCGGTGGATTGCTAATTTCGTGACTTGCTGGAGTTGCACAGTCGAAAATTTAATTTCTTTTGTTGAAAATTACAGTTTAAACATGCTTCATAATTCGTAAGTCGTGTTATGATCATGTCTATACACTTGGCGGTAGGCGAATGACTACCGATACGTTGTCATGTAATGTTTCCTGGTAAAACATATTGTTTTTGCTATGTTTCCTCTTCTTCTTCCTCTTCTTTTTCCTCTTCTTCTCCAAACCGATAAGGTCAATGACCTGAACCAGACCTGTCACCATGGTAACTGGTGCTGGTTTACATCATGTTGCAAGTTTATATAGCAGGAGGGATTTAGACTCCTGACACTCCTGCGATGGTAAACATTATAAATTTGCTTTGCAAATGTTACCTTTCTAGTTTACAACACCTTTCACACTAGAGGCGGAATGATCCGGAATGTCGTCTGAATATTCTTGCATATTCCAGGTATATGTAAGCTGAATGCAAAGTACATTCTAGAAATCCTCAGGGCATTCCAAATATAATTTGTACCCATGCTTGTGGTCAGCCCGACTATTTTGGTGATGTTCAAACGTGAATTTAAATGAGAGAAATATCAAACGACATTTTGAAAGTGGATTCTACTACAGTGTGGCAGTATTCTGTATATTCCTGCAGCATTCCAACAACTTCGTAACATTCTTCTCTTCTTCTTCCTTGTAATGCCCACGTTCATCTTGTGTTGAACATTATGGCATGTTGAGGAGGGCAGAGGTTTACTGCATGTGTCTTAATCATTGTCCATAATCATGTCCGTGTACTATGCGCGAGGTCGTCACCGGGAAGGCCAACCAGTTGTTGTGTAAGAGCATTCCACTCTCTTCTGGTCGCATTAAAGGGAGAAATGGAATGGGCTTTAATATTTAGAATACACCCGAAATTTGAAGAATGCGCTTAGAATAGCCAGGAATATACAAAAAAATATTGTTCGTGTGATATTCTGATTCATTGTGCCTCTAGTGTGAAGGAACTATAACTAGTTAACTAGGGTTTCCCGAAAACAATGTATGGCTCGATTTATTTGACAATTCTTCATGAAAAAACGTGCACTACATTCATTGTAGTCTACAAGCTATTAACAGGCTGTGACTAAACCGTGGTTTGAAATTTCAATACTTGCATCCATTTCAGGTGAAACAACCTGTGCGCGTTGTCCAACAACATACTATTGTACTGGGGACGGCGAGGCCAGGCCTTGCGGGAGGTGCGACCCTCCGTCGGCGGCCTGTGAGCGCTCACCCACCGAGCATTCGTTTGGCGGAGCGTCGGAGTGCAGCCCATGCCCAACTGGTCGGGTTAGTCCAGATTTAATTCGAATTGTCACCTTCCGAAGGGCCTACTGTTTCATTGATAATATATTGCCGTATTTTCAATTTTCAATTTAAAAGTATTACCATTTTCGGGAAGATATGGTACACATGTTGCTTAGATAAAGGCTATACAAACGTGATCGAATTTTGACGTTTCATGTATTTCTTTTGCAGATCTGTAAAGATGGCTACGGTCACTCTTGCTCCAGGCACCATTACGCCGACCCTTGTAACGAAACGGTACGCTGTGGTATTTTTAAAAATTCATTTTCCATAATAAGCATTCTTAAATACATAGATAAAAAAATACTGTCTTTTCCTTTTAATACCTCTGTCATACTTTCAGAACCTTCCCCCAACCACCAACCAACCAACCAAGGTGGGCTGAAATTCGGGAGCAGTCTGGCTAAGTTAACCTTTCGGGAGTAGTGTGGTTACGTCTATACGTCTACCTTTCTATGCAAATGGAATCAAATTTGAGTTAAATTTGAGTTAAATTTGAGTCATATTTGACCGACGAACACGCCCGACCACTGCCGACCAACGTCCGAACGCCAGTCAACGACCAGACAACCAAGGTCAAACCTCTTGTCCACTCCCGAATGTTTTAAACCACTTTTGCCAAAGTCAGCTGGCGCAGCCCAACAGTAGTCGACCTCGCAGAACACCAGCCGACTACAGCCGACTTTCACTCCCGACCTACTCCTAACCATGGTTGGGTGGAGGTCGTCATCAGTGTTCGATAGGCCGTATTTGGCTGTGTGACAGGGGCTTTATACCTACTCTACAAGCAGAGGTTAGGGTTTTTGGTTTTTTTTGCGTGTTCTTAGACTTTTTTTATCGGGGTTTCTTTTTTGCACTGGAATCTTTCTTTCACGTTGGGTTGGGTGAAATAACAATTCCAGCGCAAAAAAGAAACCCCAATAAAAAGCCTAAAAACATGGTAAAAATACCCCAAAACCCAAATCTCTGCTTCGAGAGTAGGCTTTACCTACATCTTCATTTCTTCCATTGTCGGATGCAATGTAAGCATTGCATATTCTGCTATTCAGTGTGATACGAAACTCTTTATGTTGTATTCACAGTATTGTGCAGACAGTTGTATACCTTGTGAACCTGGTTATGCCTGCTTTTTTGGTCGGAGGTACCGATGTAGACCAGGCTTCTATGGTACCGGCCATACGGGTGAGTAATATTTCATCATAACATTCTGTTTGCACCAAGCACGTCTCATTACCATACTAAATTGTCTTGTGATAGGTTTATATGACATGTGAGACTAAAGTAATTTACGGAGTGAGTGAGTGAGTGAGTGAAAATGCAGCACCGAAATGCAAGACCCTCGTTAGCCTGGGTACCATCCTACTTGTATGCCGGGGCTCCCACACTCGCTTCCCTAACAAGTAGGGACGCGAGTGTGGGAGCCCCGGCATACAAGTAGGATGGTACCCAGGCTAGACCCTCGTCACAGATAGCCGAATATGGCCGAACTCCCAACCACGGACAGGAGATAGTCGTCTGGTGTTCGGCCAGGTCGGCTACTGTTCGGCTGCGCCAGCCGAGTAATTCAAAATGTGTAAAAGAAGAGTGGGGTTGTGACGGGAGGTTCGGCCATGGTTGGCTGGTAGTTTTTTTTTATTGAAACATATAATGACAAGACATGGTGGCGACACAATCAAGATACACTTATATTCATGTCGCCACCAGACAACACATAATACATACAACAAGCAAAGCACAGATAACATATTGAAATTGAATACTATGATGAATCAATGGACAGGTGAAACAGATATATAAAAATGCTAACGGTATCGATCAATAAACTATGTTACAAAAAACGGTAAGAATGCAACATAATACCTGGACATGCTGTAATATTTGAATATTGTACGTTGTTGAGAGAAAAGAAGAACCATTTAAAAGAAAATGTAGCAGAATATCATCAGAAAGATTATCCAAGGTAGTTGAGCCAATCAGTGTTATCAAGTTGTCAAAAAGGATATTTGGCTGGTAGTTGGCTGGTGTTTCACGTACATGACTGTGAACGTAACAGGCATAAATGGAACTGCACATTCGTTATCTCGTTTTGTACAGACTACTGCATCCCTTGTCCGGCGGGCTCCTACAACAACCAGAGCGGGGCGACAGGCTGTATGTGCTGCCCGGCAGGGTCCTACAGCACGGTAGGGAAGACTGAATGTGAGCCGTGTCATCCCAGGACGTGGTCGCGTGGAGACTGCACCATATGCCGTGACTGTAGGGATGTAAGCGAGTGTGAGTAACGATTTTCACAACGGAACTCCTGGGCAGTTCAGCGCTAATATGCGCTAATATGTTTGAAATACATTGTACTCCAATACCCAAAGTTTCTTCACCTAGCCTACATTGGAAGCTACATTTCAAACTTAAAAGTGCTGTTGCAATACATTAGTGAGGCCATGTTGATTTGATTATATGGATGACATCCTCCGGGAGCCCCAAAACTGATGCGCGCGTGCGAATAAAAAAAAGTTTTGCAAAAAAAAAGGTCTTTTCATTATGAAATCTACGTGGTCATGAGGGTTGAGCAAATGGCACAGAATATGGTTTGGCGAATAATCTAGTCTTCAAGTTCATTTCTTTACAATGACGTCGTTTTTCGTTTGATTTTGGCATTCTACGACATTGGTATAGTTTTTATTAATTTTTTTTGTAACTTATGGTATATTTTTGCTCATTTTGCAACTGTTTTGTACGATTTACAGTATAGTTGAAAAGTTTTTTTTTTGGAAACGGCCGAAAATTCATGCGCGCGCGGATGTCATCAATATAATCAAATCAACATGGCCTAAGCCAGTATAATGCCCAAATTCGAACTTAACGTTATTTTTCTACACTGCAAGCTACCTAAAAAGTATTGTACAAAAACATCCACAACTTCAAAGGTTATCCCGTCAAGTCACATTCCACCGCAGCAGCTCCAAAAAAGAGCTATTTACTTACTGCCCGAACATCTATGCCCCACTCAAAAATCATGGCCACAGCACGAGATATCGTACCCATCTACCCTACTGCAGAAGAGTACCCAAAATTGACCTGGACCCTCCTTTTTCCAACCTTATCCTACTTACCAAATATCATAAAGATACATGTACATGTACTCGTACATGCACCAGAGCCCAATATATAACCGCTTACAAATTCAGCAACTCGTATGTATGGTGTACCTAAACACATAACCTTCTAACGAAGGTTAGTAGTCTAGAATTAGATCTGATCACTGGAAGTATTTGTATCTTACACACCCCTTCTCCATTTGAAAATTGATAAACATATTTCGATAGTTCTTTTACAAGATGTCTGCCTAATTCATCTTCATATCTCGTTCTAGGTCCCTGTTTGTCTAATCCGTGTTTTGGTGACGTCATCTGTCAGAACATCAACTCCTCCTACTATGTGTGCGGCGCATGCCCAGCAGGGTACAGCGGGGATGGAGTTACCTGTGTGGACATTGACGAGGTGAACAGACACACACACACACACACACACAGAGAGAGAGAGAGAGAGAGAGAGAGAGAGAGAGATACACACACACACAAACACACACACACACACACACACACACACACACACAGACCCACAAACACACACACACACGCAAAGACACACGCACACACACACACACACACACACAGACCCACACACACGCGCGCGCGTGCGCGCGCACACACACACACTCACGTAAACACACGCACGCACACACACACACACATTGGGAGTTAATGCACATTGCTTATTAATTGCGAAGGGTTGTCACAAATATATACCAGCCGAAAAGAGAATGTTTCCTGCCTGCAAAGACAAAGTTGAAGATGGATACCATTTCTCAATGACATGTCTTTGCTATAACGAAGAAAGGAAAAGACTAATGATGTCATGTAAGAAAAAAAAAACAACGCTACCTGGGACAAGTAGAGAAATTTTCAACATGCTTCTATCACGCACCGACTCTGTATCTGTTCATCTATGCAAATATATACATAATTCTATACAAAAGAGAAACCGTGTCATAGTAATGTGAAATGTAGTATTCCACCATAACACGTATATGTATTGACATGAATTATGAAGTTAGATTATTACGCTGGTAAAGATAATCTATAGTTATTGCTATTTGCCATACATTGTATCCGGTGATATTGTTGCGCAATAAACATTGACTTGATCAAAATAACCATTTTTTAAAATTCCAACATGTAATCACCAGGCGTGGTGACGGCACATTCAAGTTTTATCAACTTATATTAATGCCGCCACCAATACAGGGGACAAATACATGACAGGACAATACTCATTTACACCTGAGCTAAGTGAGGAAAGTCGTGTAAAGTGTCTTTCCCAAGGGCACAAGATCGGTGGCATGTCAGGACTCGAACCCGGGACCTCTAGGTTCCGAGTCGCGCACTCTGCCGCAACGCCACACGACCCCACACAAAAATAACCATTTCTCTTTTTCTTTTTTTTTACTTTTCCAGTGTAACGTTACTGCCGCTTGCCATGACTACTGCGAAAACACTAACCCGGGTTACGTGTGCGGCGCATGCCCACAAGGTTATAGCGGAAGCACAGCTATTGGATACGGACTGGACTACGCACTTCAACATCCACAGGTAGGGACCAGTGAACATTCTTTGTTAACATTCAGGGCTCGAAATTAACGGAATCAATTGACCACTAAAATTTACGCCGGGACAACTAAAAATTACTTTAGGATATTTCAGGGCGAGCCTATCCTCACTTCGGGACAGTTGGAAATTACTTATGGGACGATTCTGGTACAAAAGGGAAAAAGTTAATGTCCAGGCCTGAACAAAACGATAACGACAAAGTGATGACGAACTCAACTTTAAACCACCATTTGAAATAAAAGCAAAGGAAACACAGAAAGAGAATCCAAAATAAAAGATTATACATTTCTAACAGAGATATAACTTATACAAAAGTTGAAATAAATTTTAGGGAGTGCCACTGCTCCCTCCCACCAGATGATGAAGTCAATACATGGACAAGAGGCAAAACAACCTTTAAAAGGGCGCTGAGATGTTGATGAAATTTTGAGTTCGATAAGCAACACACTCTCTGTGACAGCATCAAAATATACCTGCAAGAGAAACACCAGAGGCTGGATGTGCTGCACGTAAAAATGTATTTCTCACACAAACGTTTCCTGTAGTCATACGTAATGTAGATTCGGATTGCCTTTGCATGCAAGTGTATCAATATGATTGAATATCCAACACAATCCAACACTATTATTTCTTCTATTGACTATATCGTTGAAGAGATTCATCAGTCACGTATAGTACAAGTTCAGTAAGATAATTCTTTCAATCAGTGACTATTAAATCCTAAGGTACATACCTCCGAATTTTGGACGACTAGTCAGTTCGTCTTGGTCACGGAATAATCCTAGTCTCGCAAGATAACGCGAGACTAGGACTAGACTTGCGTGGATCTTCTGCCCCCCTCTGCCTCCTTGC